CCCTCCAGTATATATGTTAAAAGAGGCCCTGAATAATGTGACAGCAACAATGTTACTTACCAAATACAGCAATAAAAGGGGAACTGGGGCAATTAACTAGTATATCTTTGGTGGTAGCTGTTTCCTAAAAAGATTAAAACAAAAATTTAAAACTGTATGCAATACATAATTATATAGCTTACCAAAATGTATTCACTACAGCCTGTTTCAACAGGCTGCAGTGGACACATTTTTGGTCAGCTTTGGCCTCGTTTTAACACTTTGTGCAGCAGTTTGGAATAACTGTTTCGATCAGCTAAATTAAAATTAAAAATAATATTACTTACATTGAAGCATCGTATCATTTTCTCCTCCTCTTTGTCAAAATATGCAAGCAATAGAAGACAGACGCCAGTCATTTTAACAGCTTTCGGCTCTCGGAATTCCATGGTATCTCCGATCAGTTTGACTGAATCTTTCACCCTCTTTCTTGACAGCTCCTGCTTCATGTAATCAAAAATAACTTTAGCCTTTCGTTCAACAGTTTCCATGAAAACTACATGAAGCTCAAACCCCATAAGTTCCTGAAAGTGCTGCAGTAAATAATCTTTAAAAAATGGGAAAGGCCATAACTCTTTTATTTCATCGACTGTAGACGGCATTGGTTTTTGCTTATTAATGAACATGCGTTGGGAGGTGTATGTTAATTTCATGAAGTGTTTGACCTGATCTTTGTCTTGGTCAGCTTTTGTATATTCGCTAATTAGTCACTCCTGTATCTCCTTTTGTGTCTCTTTATTTTCATTCTCAGGATATGAATCAGGTTGCCAATTAATGCAACCATACAAATCCTTGACAGGTTTCCTCGTTTTCTTGGCAGGTGGCTCAGAGGTTCCATCAACTTCATTTAATTTTTCACCAAAGGAACTTGTTTTCATTCCTTTTCTATTTAAATTAAACAACCGTTCTTCCATTTGCTTACAAAGAGACTCGTACCCACTTCCAATAACTTTATCTGCAACAACGTCACAAAACGATTCTTTGTGTTTGGCCACAATTGTGCTTGCAATTTTGGACAAGTTTTTTCTACCAGGCAAGGTTGAATGCTTTCTTATGTCATCACAAGCTATTTGTACCATTTCTCGTCGGTCGCTAGGTTTCGGATGAACCTTTTGCTTGCATGCTTTAAGTAGTGACTGTGGCATTTTATACCATGGAATCTCAAAATCCTGAACCCCGCGGTGTCCGTGCTTTGGTATTGGAGTGCTCTTATTAACCAGAGTTGAAGGAGTACTGCACTGCGATGAGATGGAGGTATCACTACTTTCTCATCCATCAATAACTTCAATTATGGAGTTGCCTTTAGGAGTGTGTGGCAATTTACTTGTTTGGGCATTATTACCTTAAAATGATTTGTATGCATCTTTAGTGTTTATGTATATGCATAAAATTATGTTCACTTGGGTGTTCCTATTGTTTTAGCTATTGTTGTCTAATAATAACAATTACTGTGAATTTATCCAAATTAAATCATAAATAGACTGTGGTGGTAGATTTGGCATTATGATGACAAGAGAAATGCTCAATATACATCAGTGGCGTAGCCAGAACGATAATTCGGGGGGCATATATTCATATATTCGTTTCACATACCATAAAAACAATTGATTTGACAATAAGCTAAATCTTCAAGTTCTGAAGCCCCAATTTCTACTAAGCAGTCTATTGTAGTTTCAATAATGTCATCGGTCAAATTTGGGAATAATTTGTTGAGAAATTCTTCCATGCTTTTTTATTTCTGAAATGAAATGAAATGCAAACATTGAAATCTGTATGGTTTGTAGACGAGTCACACTACTATGAATTACTCATCTACTAGTGCATATTTAAGTACAATGACTTGCTTGTTACTAAGAGTGTTAGTATGAAATGAGCTGTATGACTTAAGAGCAGAAAAAGCAACACATTCATAGACATCTTGCATACCACTTAACAGTTCATACAACCCCAATTTTGAGTTATATTGTGCTTGAACTCTTTTAACTAAGAAACACACATGACTAGTAAGTGTATGCTGAAATAGTAGCACAATCTTTCCAAATATAATGTGGGTCTGTGTGAACTCAATTGCAACATAATCATCTTTCTTATACTTAATTCCATGAATAGTGCCATTGAGGGATTTAATCACTTCAGAAGATTCTAAGTGATGGTGCTTCTCAAATGCATCTCTAACACAATCATTATATAGCTCAACGTTGAATGCTATTGAATCATGAAAACAAATACTGTTTTCAAACAGTGAACCATTGCTGAAATATGCTTGCAAAAGTTGGTGGCATTCAGCAAATGTGTGGCAAATATTTATGAAGTTCTGGCTGTGTTGAGCACATTTCTTAAAGTATGAGTGCTTGCTTTCAAATCGAAGGGTCCATACCCTTATTAAAGGCCCAAATTGCAAAATATGTTGTGGATAATGGGTAAGATAATGATGTTTTGGTCATAACGGGGCCTCAGGAAATAGGCTAGTACGTGCCTCTGGATACTCTTCTATTTTCACTCTTAAATAAGCAACTTGTGTAACTGTAATTTTTGGTACACACAAGTGCAACAATTTCTCCAAGTAAGCATATTGCAGCCCACACTTCATCACAATGATCCAGTATTTTCGAAGAAATTAAAAGGGGAAGTAACTGAAGAAGACACCAGTTTTGAACCGCATGCCCACCTAAAGTTTTTCCATTCTCGTTCACAATGCTTGGCTTGTCATTTGCATCATATCCTTTATACTTAAACAGTTAAACCTGACAATTAGTTGGTTCAAATAAGTATAGCTGAACCACTTTCTTATTTTGATGAGACAGTTAAGAAAAAGGGCCAAATCATATTGAACAACCCCCTCAAACAGATCATGCCCAAGACAAGGAGGCAGACCTGGGTTGCAAACATGGTAATATTGTAGTTCATTAAAAATAGAATTGAACTTCACTCCTTTATAGTGGCCTAATTCTGGGTTTCCTTCAACTATTGCACATACTTCTGTATAATTATCAGGGGTTCGCTCACAATAAAAATTTTAAATTGTGTCAGTTCTAACTTGCTCTAACAAGGTAAGACAAAATCGACACACATGTGCACAGGAGCTGAAATTCTCCACAAATCCACCAATACAATGGCTACCTAAATTATCGCCCATTATCATTGGTAGTGTGCCTTGAACATACAGACCTTCCTGTAACAACCAATCATAAACCTTACCGGAACTAATGTACAATTAATTATGCATGATATTAGCATGACATTAGCATGAGCATGTTTGTGTAAACTGAGAATATTCGTAGTATAGAATAAAACGTTAAGCGAAGAGCTGTCTTCCTTGAAGAACTATTATACTAGTATTTAAGTTACTACATTGGCGACGAGGATGTACTAAAGATTGATCTAAAGCAATAAATTATGAGCCACGACAAGGAGAAAAAGGGTTCTAGCTCTGAGACAAACGCGAGCGTAAATAATATAAGCGTGACCAACCGCCAACTCAACGTGAGACCATTTCAGATCAACGAAAATCGCACTGAAACTGCTTCAGGATGGGAGAAATGGCTACGGAATATCGAAAGACAGTTTCGCTACTTTGGGATCACAGACCCAGAGATGAAGAAAGACGGTTTAATCATTTATGGCGGTCAAATAATCGCAGATTTAGAAGATACACTTCTCGACGCTACAGGCGACGAAGCTGCTGAAGATGCCTATGCACAACTCATAATCAAACTCAACAAACATTTTCTACCAAAGAAGAACAAAGATTTTGCTAGATTTCAGTTCGGAAATCTTAAGCAAAACCACAGTGAATCGCTTGTTCGATACTATACACGCATCAGGGAAATAGCAAAGAAATGCAGTTTCTCAAACGAGAGCGAAGCTATTCGAGACCACTTAATAAAAACAATGACGAACAATGTCGTACGCATCAAAGCAATACGCAAGAATTGGACGCTCGACCAAATTCTAGAAGAAGCTGAGTTGGACGAGGAAACCCGAACACAAGCTAAAGAGATGGAGAAGAAAGTAAATTCAGACGAAACAATCAAACAAGTCCAAAATTATCAACAACAACGACCTTCGTCTCAGATTTTCCGTGAACAAAGCACATCATCGACCCGTGAAAAAACAACAAATCCTTGCAACTGTTGTGGATATGACCGAGCTCACAAACAATGTCCAGCAATGGGATCGCTTTGCAATGCATAGCAAACGTAACCACTACGCCAAAGTATGTCGATCGAAGCCCGCAGAAAGATTTTCAAATAGCAGACGACAACGACAATTCGAAGGCAAAGACACAGGAGGCACACAACAATCAACATCGGGAGAAAGAAATCGTAGAGACAGGAAAATGCCAGAAAATAAAAATGTGGTACAAACCCAGTGGTACTTGCAATATTCGGAAACTACAAGAAACACAGTCCAGTGTTGACGAGCTACTCAAACCATATCAGGATCTATTTCATGGAATTGGCAGAGCGACCCGCAATGGAGAGGAGATTCAGCTACATTTACCAATGGATGAAGAGGCTGAACCAGTTGCACAAAAACCAAGACGAGTTGCATACCACCTAATGGAACCTCTCCAGAAACGACTCCAAGAATTTGTGGAACAAGACATCATGGAGAAAGTTCCTGATCAAGAACCTATAACATGGTGTTCTCCTATGGTTGTACAACCTAAACCAAAGAATTCCAATGATATACGCCTCCGCTTGGATTTACGAACACTGAATAAACCCATGTTACGAACTTGCCAAGTCCAAGCACCCATTACAGAAGATTTTATTACAGCGTTTAAGGATTGCCGCATATTCAGCAAGTTGGACCTCCCTGGACGAACAACCCTGGAAGAATTGGGCATGGTGAAGATTGATGAAACAGGATGACTTAAAGAACCGAACAAACCCAGTGGTACTTGCAATAGCATGTTACCTACAATAGAGATCGAAGCCCGAGTCCCGAAAGCAGCACATCAAGTGATAGCGACTTGGTAAACCACTTAAAGATACACAGGACGACAGGGGATGAAACGACTTTATCTTGTGTTGTTTACATAAATGGTCATAAAACACTTGTTGAACCAGACACAGGTGCAGACTCTAACATTATGGATGAATACAACTTCAAGAGTTGAAAACCAAGTCACCAGAGATACAACTATACGAGTCGAAAGTAAAGCTAAATACGCTGAAAGAGAAGCTACCAGTCAAAGGCGAATGCATTGTGACCATTGAAAACGAGACATGCATAACACAAGCACCAATGGTCATCATTAAAGGGAAAATCAACTCTTTACCTTTAATTGGACGAACAACCCTGGAAGAATTGGGCATGGTGAAGATTGATGAAACAGGACGACTTAAAGAACCGAACAAACCCAGTGGTACTTGCAATATTCGGAAACTACAAGAAACACAGTCCAGTGTTGACGAGCTACTCAAACCATATCAAGATCTATTTCATGGAATTGGCAGAGCGACCCGCAATGGAGAGGAGATTCAGCTACATTTACCAATGGATGAAGAGGCTGAACCAGTTGCACAAAAACCAAGACGAGTTGCATACCACCTAATGGAACCTCTCCAGAAAC